AAAAAATGTTCAAAAATGAGAAAGCAATACCCGAACTCATTGGAAAAACCTTTTAAAAAGCAAGCAAAAAGGTATAAAAACTACCGAGCCTGCAACAATACTTGCCTCTGCGGGGAATACATCTCATGCAGAAATAATATTCACAGTAATAAAAGCGGAAATATCACATGGCACCGAGATACGGTAATTAACAAGAATAAAAGAGTGATAACGACACCAAGATTTTTACGTGAAAAAACCCTTTGAATAAGGAAAAAAAATCACGACCCCGAGACAAGCAACTGATATCACTATAGCAAGGAATTTTATACTTTGTAGGTCCGAGTAAAATACTCCAAAAACTACTACAACACTCAAAAGAAATAACCCTCTTTTGATATTCCTACTTCACTATAATATCGCTCACTCTCTATTTTTCTCACAGACTATTTTCTTATACCTTGTCTGTGAAACCTCACTCTTTCTTTCGCTCTTTGTTGGTGTATGGAAATGAGAGCTGAAGCTCTCCTTTTATAGCCGAAGCCTTACTCTCCAAAGCCTACTATATTTGATAATTTACACACACTTTTTCTTCTGTTTCTTCAATGTTGATAAATCAACAAAGTTGGCTACCAAACCAAAATAATTCAACAAAGTGGGCTACCAAACCAGAGAAATTCAACAAAGTTGGCTACCAAATCAAAAAAAATTTCCTTAGGCACATGCCTATTACTTTGGCTTTTGAATGAGATAGACCCCATCAATCTCCCCCTCCAGTCTCATTCATCTAGATGAGGTAGCACTATCTTCTAGTTTGAGTGCATGCCGACAAGTTCTTTGCATATCTCGAACTTGTCTCTTGGTACCACATTGGTCAACATATCAGTAGGATTTTCACTCGTGTGAATCTTTTTGACATGTAAAGATTCGTTCTCCACCTGCTCATGAATCCAATGATATCTCACATCTATATGCTTTGTTCTTGCATGGTACATGGAGTTCTTGCTCAAGTCTATTACGCTTTGACTGTCATAATAGACGACATACTCATTTTGATACAATTCCAGCTATTGAAGAAACCGCTTGAGCCATACCATCTCCTTGCCAGCTTCTGTAGCGGCAATGTACTCTACTTCAGTTGTTGAAAGTGTAATACACTTCTGTAATTTAGACTGCCATGATATAGCTCCCCCTGAAAATATAAATACATATCCAGTAGTGAATTTTCTGTTATCAATGTCACCTGCCATATCAACATCTGTATAGCCCTTCAAGATTGGATGAGATCCTCCAAAGCATAAACAATCTCCCACGGTACCTCTCAGGTACCTGAGTATCCACTTGACTGCTTCCCAATGTTCCTTTTCATGATTTTCAAGGAATCTGCTAACAACACCAACTGCATGAGCAATATCAGGTCTGATGCATACCACTGCATACATCAAGCTTTCGACTGCTGAAGAATAAGGAACTCTAGCCATGTTCCCTTTCTCCTCCACTGCTGTACGACACATCTTCTTAATCAACTTTAGATGACTAGCAAGATTCAACTTTTGTGATCGGCCCTTTATCTTTTCCTACAATTAACATGTCATCCATATACAACAACAATATAATAAAGTTATTTTTAAAAAATCTTTTGAAGTATAAACATGGACATGGATCAGAATATGTCTTTGTGTAAGTTTGACTTTTCATGAATGAGTCAAACTTCTTGTACCACAACCTTGGTGCCTGCTTCAACCCATAAAGACTCTTATTCAGTTTGCACACCATGTGTTTCCTTTCAGCTACTTCAAATCCTTCTCACTGCTCTATATAGATCTCCTTTTTCCAAATCTCCGTGAAGAAATACAGTTTTCACATCCAACTGTTCCAATTCAAGATCTAGGCTAGATGCTAAGCTCAAGATTGTTCGAATAGAAGTCATTTTGACAAAGGTGAAAAATTTTTGTCAAAATCAATACCTTTCTTCTGTTCGAAGCCTTTAACCACCAATTAAGCTTTGTATCTGACCAACTTTCCATTTCCATCTTTCTTGATTTTAAAGACTCACTTACATTTGAGTGGTCTTTTACCCTTTGAAAGTTTAACCAGCTTGTAAGTGCCATTTTTCTGTAGAGATTTCATCTCTTCTTGCATGTCTTTCATCCACTGGTTCTTTTCTGGATGGGACATCACCTCCTTAAGACTTTCTGGCTCCCCTTCATCACTGATGAGGACATACTCTGTAGAAGGGTACTTGCATGACTCTTCCCTTGGCCTCTCTGATCTCCTTAGAGGTTGAGGTTGTTCTTCTTCCTGAGTGGGGTACTGCACTTGCTCGACATCATCATCAAGTTGCTCCCCCTGCTCAATAACCTCACCAGATTACTCCCCCTGCTCGGCAACCTCGTCGGGCGTACTTTCTGCACTTGTGGGATAGTTAGAAGAAGAAGGAATGGTAACAAGGTTAGGAATTATACCATCAACTTCACTTTCTCGGAAGATTACATCTCTGCTTCTGATGATCTTCTTCTTTACAGGATCCCACAATCTGTACCCGAACTCTTCATCTCCGTATCCGATGAATATACAGGGAATAGATTTATCATTCAGCTTTGTTCTCTGCTCCTTTGATACATGTGCAAAAGCACTACAACCGAACACCTTGAGATGTGAGTACGACACCTCTTTGTTGATCCAAACTCTCTCTAGGATGTCAAATGCCAACGGAACTGATGGACTCCTATTGATTAGGTAACAGGTTGTCTGAACTACTTCACCCCAGAATGACTTAGGCAGTTTAGCCATTTTGAGCATGTTTCTCACCTTCTCTACAATAGTGCGATTCATCCTTTCAGCTACGCCATTGTGTTGTGGGGTCCCAGGAATGTCTTTTCATGTCTTATCCCATGGCTCGAACAATACTTTTCAAATTTTTCTTGAAGTGTACTCACCTCCATTGTTACTTCGGAGACGCTTTAGCTTTTGGCGTGTCTCCCTTTCCACCATAGCATGGAACTTTTGGAAAAATTAAAACACCCGATCTTTGATTTTTAAAATATAAACCCATAATTTTCGTGAAGCATCATCAATAAAAGTAATAAAATATTTGTTACCGCCCATCGATTCAATTTTTATTGGACCACAAACATCAGAATATACCAAATCAAGCATATTTAATTTTTTTTCAGAATGAGACTCTATCTTGCTTACCAAATAAACAGTAGTCACAAGGTTTTACCGTTGTGCCTTTGGCATAAGAAATGAGTGATTTCTTGGCAAGAATCTGCAATCCCTTCTCGCTCATATGACCCATTCTTTTGTGCCATAAATCTGCAGAAATCTCATCTTGTGCCGCGTTGAATTCACCTTGGCATATTTCTGCATTTGTCATGTACAACGTGCCACGAGCAACTCCCTTTGCAATCACCAATGATTCCTTGGTGAGTCTCCACTTTTGATTTGCAAAATAGTTCTCGTATCCATCTCGGTCTAAAGCAATTCTCGAGATCAAGTTCATCCACAAATCAAGTACATGTCGAACGTCCTTCAGAACCAATGTGCATCCGACATTTGTCTTGATACAAATGTCATCAATCCCCGAAATCTTTGAGTAACTTGTGTTACTCATTCTCACAAGGCCGAAATTACCTGCTACATATCTGCAAAAAAGATATTTTACCGGTGTGGCATGATAAGATGTTGTTGTATCAACCACCCATTCCGACTCTGGACCTGATAAGTGCATGCATTCCTCTTCCTCGTTTATAAAGAGGACAACATTATCAATGTTTTGCACCATGGCGGCTATGTTGTCTTCATTCTTCTGTCCACTAGTTTCACCTTTGCCCTTCCTTAGATTTGGGCAATCTCTTTTGAAGTGACCTGGTTGATCACAATTGTAATAATTTCTAGCTCTTGATTTGGATCGGTTCTTAGACTTCCCACGAGCTCCGGTTCTACTATAGTTGCTCAAACTCATTTGATAACTCTGCCTCTACCTTCTGTGATGAGAGCATGTCCTTGATTTTCAGGCTTCTTTCTCATCTTCTCATTAAGTAGAAGAGCCGATGTGACATCTTTCAACTCAATGGTAGTCTTACCGTGCAGGATGGTTGTTGCCAGATTATCGTACGAAGATGGCAACGAGTTCAACAGCAAGATAGCTTTATCTTCTTCCTCGATTTTCACTCCGAGATTGGCGAGCTGTGTGATTAGTATGTTAAGCACATTTAAATATGAGAAAAAATTCGTACCTTCACCCATGTGTAGGGCGTATAGCTGCTTCTTCAGGTACAATTTATTTGTTAGCGTTTTGGACATATATATGCTTTCCAACCTTGTCCAAATGCCACAGTCTTCATCAATGATGTTATTTACCACATCATCTGATAAGTGCAACCTGATTGCACTAGCAGCCCTTTCATCCAAGTCATCCCAATCCTCAACTTTTATGGTATCAGGTTTTTGGGCATCAGCATCTAGTACCTTTTGTAATTCTTGTTGGATGAGCAGATCTTTCATCCTTCTTTGCCATGTTGAGAAACCGTTATTTCCGTTAAATTTTGTTACCTCGTACTTTACTTCGGATATTTTTATTTTTCACCGAGTATAGTACAACCGATAGTGAATAGTATTTCTGTGAACGAGTAGAACCTGTGCTCTGATACCAGTTGTTGGGAATAAATCCTCTAGAGAAATAATATTCACAGTAATAAAAGCGGAAACATCACGTAGCACCGAGATACGGTAATTAACAAGAATAAAAGAGTGACAACGACACCAAAATTTTTACGTGAAAAACCCTTTGAATAAGGGAAAAAAATACGACCCCGAGACGAGCAACTGATATCACTATAGCAAGGAATTTTATACTTTGTAAGTCCGTGTAAAATACTCCAAAGACCACTACAACACTCAAAAGAAATAACCCTCTTTTGATATTCCCACCTCACTACAATATCGCGCATTCTTTATTTTTCTCACAGACTATTTTTTTTATATCTTGTCTGTGAAACCTCACTCTTTCTTTCTCTCTTTGTTGGTGTGTGAAAATTAGAGCTGGAGCTCTCCTTTTATAACCGAAGTCTCATTTTCTAAAGCCTAATATATTTGACAATTTGCACACATTTTTCCTTCTGTTTCTTAAATGTTGACAATTCAACAAAGTTGACTAGCAAACCAAAGAAATTCAACAAAGTTGGCTATCAAACAAAAGAAATATTTCTTAGGCACATGCCTATTACTTTAGCTTTTGAATGAGATAAAGCTCATCAGCATCAATTTCTTATTTTAAGTCTGCTTTGTGGTGGGAACTTTCATACAACAATAAAAACCTTTACTTCTCATCTATATACATAATAGTAGGATATAAATTCTGGAAAAGAAAAAGTTGTGAGAGAAATAAAAGATATTGAGTATAATTTTACCTGGGCTGATAATCATTAACTAAAACTATCACAATACCGTATTAAGAGTTATGAAATTTGCTTAGTATCCTGATCGGGGCTTCCTTCTTGTCCTCCCTTTTAACATACTTTAATTTTTATGGTATATCTGCCATTAAAGAAATGCTAAAATAGTTAGTACAAATACGAGAAACGGTAATCACATTGATTCTCTTGTGCCGCAATTTCTATTTACTGCAAAAGAAAATAGGGAAAAGGTCCAAAAATGACTTTGTGGTATTAGAAATGGATCAATTATAACCTCCATTTAAATTTGAGTTCAAAAATGACCCGGCCGTTATAAAATGGGTCTAATAATGCCCTTGTGTTATTCAAAATGGATCAATTATAACCCTCATTTAAATTTGAGCTCACTAATGACCCTGCCATTAAAGAATGGGTCTAATACTGCTATTTTTCTCGGTCAATAATGATTAGGGGTGCAAATGAATATTTAAAAACCGACTAAACCGACATAATCGTACCATGCCGAACCGATTTTTAGGTTTTCTTTTTAATAAAACCGTATGTTTTTATATAAATCTATAACTGTACCGATAATTATGGTAGATTTTTTATTTTATAAAAATAAACCGAAAAAATATTGAACCATACGGTTCAATATTTGCAAAATATATATTTTTAAGTCTTTTCAGTTTTTTTAAAGTATTTATTTTTGTAAAAACTGGAAAAAAAATATTTTTTTAAAAATACTTTTAAAAACTGAAAAATATATATTCTGTAAAAACTAGAAAAAAAAAGGAATTTGCAAAATATATATTTTTAAGTCTTTTCAGTTTTTTTAAAGTATTTTTTTTGTAAAAACTGAAAATTTTTTTAAAAAAAAATGGAAAAAAAAAACTCTCCTAAAGCAGTGGACTACATATGCATTAGTTTTTAAAAAAATAAAAATATTTTGCAATTTTTTTTTTTTTCAATTTGACGGTTCAATATTTTTTCGGTTTATTTTTATAAAATAAAAAATCTACCATAATTATCGGTACAGTTATAGATTTATATAAAAACATACTGTTTTATTTAAAAAAAACTTAAAAATCGGTTCGGCACGGTACGATTATGTCGGTTTAGTCGGTTTTTAAAAATTCATTTGCACCTCTAATCATTATTGACTGAGGGAAATAGCAGTATTAGACCCATTCTTTAATGACAGGGTCATTAGTGAGCTCAAATTAAAATGAGGGTTATAATTGATCCATTTTGAATAACACAAGGGCATTATTAGACCCATTTTATAATGGTAGGGTCATTTTTGGACTCAAATTTAAACGGGGGTTATAATTGATCCATTTCGAATACCACAAGGTTATTTTTGGGCATTTTTCCAAGAAAATATAATAATTCAAACTCAATATGAGAATATTATGTGAATACAATTTCTTGTCCGACAACATAGCTCTAAATTCGATAGAACTACCACCTAAAAAGATTCCTCGTACTTTGCTAATATCTCTTATGATGATGAACCAAGTCAAATGGGCATGGGCAAGAATGATGTCAAAGTACTAAATCAAAACAAAGAATGAAAAGGAAGAAGATAAACTAAGAAAAAGAACAATAAAAATAACCGGTACACCTTGAAATGTAATGACGCCAAAGTAGGATCTTTAAATATTCCAATACCCCACTATTGGAAAATTCACCTATGGCTACACATAGAAAACCGTTGCAACAGATAGGTAAATCGTTGCCATAGAGGTATTGCAATGGCTCAGTGCCCGTTCCACCAGCTACCGTGCCTATAGATCTTAAGGAACGGTTTTTGGAACGGTTCAGATAACCGTTTCTATAGTATAGTCTATCACAACAGTTTTCCCTCTTCCTATTGGAACGATTATTCTTATCAACTGCAACAGTTGAATTCTGTTACCATAACGTTTAATGCAACGGTAAATAACCGTTACTATGTCTATTAAACCGTTACGGCTATTATAGAAATGACAACGATTTCTTTAAGATATTGCAACGGTTGAACTATGCAACGGGTTTTAGATTATTTTGGAACGGTTTGTATGTCCTATGGCAACGGTTCTGTTAGCTATTGTAACAGTTTAATTGAATTGAAAATATTGCCCTTGTTGTAAATAAAGATTTACATATATATTTACAATAAACTATAAAACACTAAAATTTATATAAATAACAAAATAAAACTATTCATAATCCAAATTGTCCAACAAGCTAATAAATCCATAGAAGTGATGAAATGTTACCAGGTACATACATTTTATATTTCAAGAGTTAAAAGTTTTAAAATGTTGATAAAGAAAACCTTTTAATTATGTTCATAGTACAATTTCAAAAGCAAGATATTTAATTAAATTAGAAGAATCAGATTAACTTTAACCAATCAGAAGCATAATTAAACAGCAAATTCCCAAGATTATTTAAATTATCCGTGACTTTTTTCACTTTGTACATAAAGACAGAACACACCTTTTTCTCACAGAATTGGATTTTCTGTATCTATCTTTTTCTTTGTTTCTTCAATGGCTTCTCTGCATCTGGACTTTAAGCTTTGGGAGTGGCTGTACTACAAAACACACACACAAAATTAACCGTCAAACAAATACAAAACCAAAATCCCACATGAAGGAAACTTACAGAAACACAGAAATTTAAACAAAAACACAAAAAATCAACCCACGAGCAACCAACCCAGAAATTTAAACAAAAATACAAAAAACCAACCCAAAAATTTAAACAAAAATAAATTAAAAAAGCTGCAAAAAATTAAGCCTTCAACCATGAGCTTATACTCAAGTTGAGACCCACTTTCAAGATTGATATACCGAATTGATTAATTCATGAATGAGGCCCAAAATCAACACCCACACGAGTTAAGAAATTTTTGCAATTAAGAGTATATTTACCGATTTTCAGATTTGGAGAAACTCTAAAGGATTAGTATGCCGCCTCCGGTGCGGCCGATTATGGAGGAGTTGTTGAGCCTGGAGGAGATTGTCGATCGTCTCCTCGTAATTTCCGAAAGCATAGAGGTGTTGAGCCTGGAGGAGAATGCTAAAGATCTAGTGTGACTTGTACGCTAAAATTAGGGGTTTACATATTTGGTATTTTATTAGATAACTAAAAAATAAAAATTGAAAATCATATTTTGGGCCCCTTTCATTTTAGCGGGTATAGAAAATTTGGGTGAAAAATAAGGAGGGGATTAATGACCATCGCGATAGCAAAACCAATTTATCCAACCATTACCATAGATAGATTTATTGCTACGGTTATACAAAACGTTGCCATATATACCTCTATCGGAACGGTTTTAAGACTATTATAACGGTTCGGTTGCTAAGTGTCCCGGTAGTTCCAATAATTATTTGTAACGGTTAAAACTGTAACAATACACCATCTATAGTAACGGTTACTGATCCCTAGCAATAAAAAGCGTTGCCATAGCTCCAATTTCTAGTAGTGTCATATGAGACATATTTTTATGGGCTAATTTTGCCACTCGTAGTTTATATTGGTATTTTTTACTTGGACATGTGCCTTAAAATTTGTTTGGCCAAACCTCTAAATATTACTAATTTTGAAAAGCGTTAAGACAAAAATATCACAAATACACAGTATTGAATTTTAGAACTTTTAAAAGTAAAATTCTAGCATACTACTCAAATTCAAGCCTTATAGGTTCAAATCCCACCTTTATTGGTTCAAACTCCAACAAGATTACTTGGTTTTGAATTATTTTCACATTGTTTCACTAGGGTTCAAACCTCAGGAACAATTACTGGGGTTTGAATCCTTTCACATTATTTCATATACGAGCTTGTTTTGAATTTCAGGAATTGTTACTGATTTTACACTAGCAAAGACTCAAAAATCAAGAATCATTCAAAAATCAAAAATCCTTTCACATTATTTCATAGTGGACTGTATTGCAGTTTTGTCATAGAATATGATATACACGCATTACTTATCTTTACTATAGTCTTATCTTTAACTGAAACAAAGAACAATATACCTTCTTGGACATTGTAAGGCGTTCAAATGGGTAGAAGACAGCACCAGCAGTAGAAAATTGAAATGTGAAACAATAGCAAGCTGTGTAACAGTTGGTATCATCCTTGACCTTCACGCCGGCAAGTTAGGAGAAAGATTAAATCCTGAAACTTTATATTACAACTACTATGCTTCAATCTCTAACTGAAACTTTATATTACTAGAGATTTAGATCTTATATTCAGAACTTACTTTGGAGTACAAATTGATGGCATGTACGAAAATTGTAGCAAACAATGCAGTTATATGATATCCTCAACAGTGGGAAATAGACAAAACAGATGAAAGAACCAAACTTTAACAATAAAGTGCTAATCATCATTCTAAACAGGGATAAGTACAGGAAAGTATATCCACACTACAATTTTTTTTCGAACTGAGGCAGATACAAAATAGTTTATCTGTATATTTAAATTGCTCGCTAAAGTGGTAGCCAGTTTACTTGAACTGCATACGACAAATACTGGCGGCACCTAGTACAAAATTTATAAGGCTACTGTCAGCATAGTTTGATCTGGATGGATGACCTAAACATGCACACTAGATCTCACAAAGATTTAGAGTTGGCAGAGATGAGGAGTATGACACCTCAAGAGGCATAAAACAAAAGGACAAGCAGAGTTACACCACTATATCTGATCATTATAGCACTAATGAAAACATCAGCCACATAAGAATGGATTACATAATAAATCACTCAAATATTGCAAGATTATCATCGATATAAATCAGCAGTTGACTTTGTTTTCACAATGATAAAGCGTACACTAATATAAGATTTGAAGGAAACAAGGAAAAAGGGAAATTTAGACATAACTCTAAAGCAAAGATCTCAAATAAAAGTCTCCTATTCTAAAACCCCCCCTCCCGACCCCATTGATTCCTAGACGGTTCCCCTCCCTGTAGAACGTTAATCGTGTGGCATGAACTGCGAAATCTTCACCAGAATCGATGGGTTTATACATTTCACCAGTTGTTAACTTCCCCTTAAATATATCACACGGCACAGAGAGATTTCTTGTCCTGCCCTACAAAGAACAATATACACTTGTCAACACAAGCAAAAAATGTGAATAGCTCCTTGTTATCTGGTTTCAAGAATGTCAGCTTGATGATCGGCTCAACCCATTTCAACTTTTTGTAATAGTCTAACACCAAGACAAAGAGCTCATTTTTACTAGTTGAGCGTATGAGAACCGGCCATTCCAATCCAAGAGATTACTGTTGCACAAGCCCACCATTGAGAAGCAACCATCTCTAGGGAAAGTATTATGACCAATGTATCTCTCGTTAACCATATCCAAAACATCAACTTCAATATGACAATATCAAGACCATCATCCTCCGTTTCAACATACCAAATGCAATAAGCAACCTCGCTTCTAAAAAAACCTCATTTTTCTTCCTCTTTCCACTTGGTTCATTTTTCTTCTTTTGCAAATTAGGTGGTGGTGGTACCTTAACGGCTCGCCAAGTATAAGTAGTTTGATAAATCCTAATCCCAAGAGCGAGAATTTCATACGCGAGTGAATATTCATCTTCATAAACAGAAACTATCTTGGCAGCTTGGTTAGATGGAACCAACTCCAAGGCCAAGCACATACTAGGATTTTGTGGATTCGGGATTGCAAGCCTGTGACACAATGCAGGGCACCATATGCGGTATCTCAAAGGAGAATAAGCACTAGAAGTTTTCTCCTCACATAAGACTCGACAACTACGACTAATTCTGGTAACATGAACTGTAGATTGAGCAGTGGTCACGTCCACGTCACTCAAACGAAAATCATGTGATTCATTAAGGTACGAGAAATGAGGGTGCAGAAATAGGGTATTCCAAAACTTGCAAACACATTTGAATCTGAACAAAGACGAAAGTGGCAAGAAGTGTTGAAATGACAAGTACAAGTAATGTGCACGACGAGGTAGCAGTGGAATAATACCCAAGTCAAACTTTTCCAATCTATTTAAACAAAAAGAAAACAAACAAATTCAAGCACAAATGTATACGGGCAGCAAGTATATCAACCACCATAAATATAGCAAGGTAAAAATAATCAATCACACGAGACACAAAGATTTATGTGGAAAACCTCTTCAATGTGAAGAGTAAAAACCACGGGACCAAAGGCCCTCAAAGCTCCACTAAATCAATCAATAAGAGTTATAAAATTTCTTTAAATTGGCCACAAAGCAAGTGACAAACCAAGAGAAACAATACATAAAAGATAGCACCAAAATAATTGAAGAAAGAAAAGAAATCACCCCAAAAACGAGATACTGTTCACGCCTCCAAAATCGAAGTTACAGACTTTGAATCCAATCTCCACTGTTGAAATCCAAGAAACACATGTTAGAAACTCCAAGTTCAAAATTAAGTACGATCCAATGGTTAACAAGTCAGGAAATACTAATTTAAGCGAACTGCCTGAGCAAAAAGTCTTTGAAGCAAAAGAACATACTTTTCTCTCTCACAAGGCTTCAAAAACAGATGCACCATTATGTTTTCTCTCTTGTTGTATTTCTAAACTAAAATATATTATATTTATATGTCTTGATATTAGTGGGCTATAGGTCAAAGTATGCTAGGTCCAAAAGATATTTTATTTATCCACATAGATAGGAAAAAAACCCAAAAACCTAACAAGAAGGTCAAGATGTATAATATAGTTTCATCTGTAAGATGATGTCCCTGTAGTTTCATGACTTTGGGGCAGTTACTAGTCATTGCAAGCAACTGCGCCAACGACTAGTAACTGCGCCAAAGTCATGAAACTACAAGGGCAACAACTTACAGATGAAATTATATAATACATCTTGACCTTCTTGCCACTTTTGTCTTTGTTCAGATCCAAATGTGTTTGCAAGTGTTGTAATACCCTATTTCTGCACCCTCATTTCTCGTACCTTCATGAATCACATAGTTTTTGTTTGGATGACGTGGACGTGATTACTGCTCGATCCACAATTCCATTTACTAGAATTAGTTGGAGTAGTCGAGGCTTATGTCTGGAGAAAACTTCTAGTGCTTCTTCTCCTTTGAGATACCGCATACGGTGCCCTGCATCGTGCCAAAGGCTTGCAATCCCGAATCCACAAAATCCTAGTCTGTGCATGGCCTTGGAGTTTGTTCCATCTAAACAAGCTATCAAGTTGGATTCTATTTATGAAGATGAATATTCACTCGCTTATGAAATTTTCGCTCTTAGGATTGGAATTTATCAAACTACTTATACCTGGTAAGCCGTTAAATTACCACCACCACTTAATTTGCAAAATCAGAACAATGAGCCAATTGGAAAGAGGAAGAAAATTAAGGTTTTCTTTAGAAGCGAGGTTGCATATTGTATTTGGCATGTTGAAACGGTGGATGATGATTGTATACGGTCGAAATAGGTTTCGGCCTTAGCATGTCCGATCGAGTTCAAACGATGATTTATCAAAGTGAGATCCTGAAGGTGGAGCAAACTATCCTCGAACCTGGGGAGGCCGATCCGTGTCAAGTTCGATATCATTACCAAGCTCGAATCAAAATCTACCATGCTGACAATCCAGAGACCAACCGACGTTGACCTCGAATCAATTCGAGGGCTCGAGCTAGGATCGGGCTCGAACCAAGATCATCAGTTCGAGCCAAAATCAAGCTCAAACCAAAATCGAGGGTTCTAAGCAAGATCGAGCTCACAGACAAAAGCCGTTGCAATCCCACTAGAGAGAATCTTGGCAGAAATTATGAAAAAGCTGATTTATCATGGGTCTCCCCCTGAATGTTTAATTTATTATGCTTAGAGCCAAATTCCTCCACTATAAAAGGGCTTGGTTACTATTTCTGTAGGACAGGTTTTTCAAAGGCTTACATTGTAATAAAGGGGCTATATTCTTCTACAGAAAGAATCGTTCTTTCATATTTCTTAGATTGATTCTATTTACTGAATTCTGAGATTCATTGTTCCTGATAACCTTATCTATTTTAGCATTCTCCCCAATCTATATTTACACTTTTTATTTATCCTTGTATTTTTTGTTAAGTTACGCCACATATCCTCAGAACTAC